AAGCCTTGAAACTGACTTCCAGCTAATGACCCAAATAATCTTTACTTGAAATTGTGTAATTGAGATCGAAGGCTGTCTGGGGCTTCTAGCTGGTACACAGATTCCACATCCATGAGCTTTTGAGTATGGTCGTTGAGCTGAAATGGAGAAGGTTAAAACTCTCATTTTCATTACCAAGCTCCCCCCATCTCCCAATACAAATGTGACATTTCAATTTTACACAGTCCAACTCTTCTTAAATCATCTGTATAAAAACTTCAGATCTTGATTGATGATGGATGAGCTATTGTCTCCTAAAGCACCCAGTTCTCATTACCCTTTAAGACATAGCCTATTAATGATGGACATGAAGTGCTTTCCCAGTGGGTCATCAGCAATCAACTGTGCTAAGAGATCAAAAGACTTGGTTTGGCATGAAATTTCCAGGCTAAAGCCATTTTCAGATAATGCATTGAGCATCTTGGGTGAAATATGACAGTGTTTTGAGAGTGGCACTGTATCTGACAACAAATCCCTCTCACCTGGGTAATGGTGGCAAAGATGCAGCACTGTCAGCATGCAAAGATGCTTTAGCTCTAATGGAGGCTAACCTTGGAAATGAAGGTATCATATCCGTAGCATATGTGTTGTATAATATGTATGTGCAGCGTATACATACCTCTACATGGTGTACTGTAACAGACAGCCATTTCCTTAGCAGACAATCAGCTTGGAAGGTATAAGATATCTTCTGGTTTGCTTCTGAAGTGGCTACAGTGGACATGCTCAACCGTTTTTCCTAATTAACTCCTTCCCCTTTCTCTGCCCACTTTAGACCTAGTTCTTTTCCCTCTCACTATGCCTTCTCCCAGTTCATTGTGCCAACTGGCTTTACAGCACCAGAGAAGAACTTTTAATTTGCAACCTTGAATAGCAATAGCAATTTTATAATCAATTTTATAGCAATTTTAGAACCAAATTCTACTGCTAAATAGGTGCCTACAGCCCCCACTGCGTATCGACACACACAAATTACTTGCATTTCAGGATACGTTCCAGAATGTGAACACATTTTGCTAATTTAATCTGCGTTTGAAATAAATACATATTTCATAAATAATAGATAACAGACTGTGAGGGATTACACTGTACACAAGAAAAAGTCAGCAGAAGGAAATGCCCTTTTAACAGATGGATGAAGAGTTCTTCCCATCCCCGGTCTAAACAGACAACACACTTGCAGAGCCAGTGTCCCTTTGCTATATTTACAGTGAGCTTAAGTTTCTGGTGGCTGGTAACACAGTTTCACTGACTCCAGTCAGACTCATTCTGTTAGAACAGGCGTTGTGAATTTACTACTTTTATGAATTGAGCAGACTAAGTATGTATGTGATGTATTTATATCTGTGTTACATGGCACTTTATGGAAAGTGTAAGATACTTGTGTTTCATGGTTGCCAGACACCTGTATGTTTCCATTTCTCCTGTTAGTATTGTAAGTATTTTATGGTAGGTAACCGAAGTTATGCAGTAATGGTTCTGCTTCATCACTGGGCTAATGGAAGCAAGAAAATAGCAGATATAATGGATAATACATTTCTGATTTAGCTTCCTGAATAAATAACCATTTAATAGAATTTTAATAATATGCAGATATAAGTTCCCCACAATCATTTGGCAGCAATAAGCAAAATAATGACAGAAGTCAGTGACGAGTGCACTTGCCGATTTATTTTCATATAACTTTAGTTACAGAATTATACTGCTTTTAAGCCAGTAAAGTAGCTCTAATAAGGAAGATGATAAGATTTTGCATTCACTTCAGAATCAAGTGACAAAAGACCTTGGAGCTACTCCTTTGCACAGAGCACCAGATGCAGCCCTGGTGCCAAAATGGGAGACTGGTACTCTTTTAAGTGTGGCCATCAGTACCATACAACAAGGCATCCAAAATTGTCTTGACACCTTTAGGAACTCTTTTTCCCAATGAAAGCTAGTGGGACTTGCGCTTCAAAATTGCCTTTTGTAACTGTGTGTCCCTGGGCAGCATAGAAGTCCAAGGGTAACGTTTGCTGCCAGTGTAGCATGGTAGGTATTTGAGGCAGCAGTTGAGAGAGCCAAGTGCTCTGCCTCCTGTCCCAGGTAGAAATGTGGTACTTAGACTTACAATTTTCCAGTGTCATGAAAAATTGTTTTAGAGGACAAAAATACTCACCCAAAAATGCCATTTAAAATACATTCTACTGTGAGCAGTCCTTTTTAGTGTTTCTTTGGCAAGAACTAGCTTCTTTCTTTGCAGTAGACATCACAAAATTCCCTAGGGGACTTGTCATACTCTTTCCTGCTCCAGCCTTGGAAAGACTTCAGCAAAGAGGCACCTCAGGTGTTTCATGCAGGACAAGAAAGCTCTTTTGCCTTGTTTCCTTTGCTAGCTTGTCTGCATAGGCAGAGATGCTTGCCTTTCTTCTCCTGTCTATTGTTTAACTTTATCTCTCACTTTCAGTGCTGTAAATTAAAATGAGATGACGACTTTAAGATGATGAATTCATTATACCGTAAGTCTATTGTATATTGATTACATTTGTGCTTCATTTGCTTAACATGTAACAGGGTTTATTAGGTCTTTCCAGGCATTGTTTTTGCTAAGAGAGGGCAGAGAAGTGCAAAATGCATTTGAGTTTTAAGTCAATGAAGCCAGTGCCTCTGTGCTGATTTACACATGCTGAGGACTCAGCAAGAAGAAGAGTAGGATAGCAGGTTGGAATGATTAGGTAGAAAGAGAATGAATCTGGATCCCACAAAGCAGGAAGAGTCAAGCATGAGTACTTTAAAGACTGTACTAAACTTTGAACTCAGGGTTATTTAATATCTGTAAGAACCCATCCTTGATATTATTACTCAGGTTTATTAGCACCTCACCACATGAACATACCTGTAAACTTCAGTCCTGTCACCTGTGAAAAATGGTACAGTGCAGGGCAAATAAAGACTGCATCACATTTTTGGAGAAGAGCAGCAGGAAAAATGCTTATTATTCAGTGATGAGTGAAGTCAGAGAATTTTCCATGTTTGCTTTTAGAAAATCATGGGAAAACCTGTCAGCTTTCCTTACAATACAGAGGGGACATTTTCTCTCGTTACTTCTATGCTGAAAAAAAGTCTTTCTCCACAAATTGAAACTATTAGAATTACTTTTAGAGGGAAATGCTGCCTGCTGTACAAGAATGCATCAAAGTTCCTAGCAGAAAAGAAAATTTGATAGGTATTGTTGCGAGTGAATGCTCTAAAAACCAGGAAATTATGCCAGTGGCAGGCATTCAGATGTACCAACTGATAGTGACACTATTTGGATTTGTGTGCAAGTGTTTAAGAAACTATGGATGTGGATTTTATAGGGTTTTGTGGCTTGTCAGGTGTTATTTTTAGTCAAAATCTGGGCCATAATGGATTACGTAATCCTGTATAGCTGGGACAACACAGAGAAATCATCACTATCAAGTTTCAAGTTAGAAGACTAAGTCCCACTTTTTCCCCAGATCAGAATTACTAGCAGATGCTGTATGGGTTTTGTCAGGGATCATAAGAATATCATACAGACAGATCATTGCTGTATCTCTAATCCAGACTTTTTTCTGCATAAGATTATTATTATTGTTTTCATTTTTAAGACCCTTTTCAATGAAAAGCCAAGCTTTTAAACCAGAATTTCTAAGAAATAGTAATACTCTGAACTGATTAATATGATAGAAGGATGTATTTACAGATGATCCTTTATTTAATACGTCCTTTTCTTCAGGGCCACCTCCTCTACATGTTGTGGCCTGTAAACACTGAATTTTTTAAAAAAAATACACAGTAATTCCTTCCTTGCTGTTTGTCAATGTTAACATTCCCCCTACAGCTTTTAAAGGTTTTCCTGGGAGATGAGGACTATGAGATGACCTTAATCATTGCTACCATAATCAAGGTTTACTCTTAACGTTTCTGTGAGAAGTGTGACACTCCCAGCTGTATAGCACCACTTCATGTCATTTTAAGGTGCCATTAGTAACTAACCTTCAACATTTCTTTTCTGAGGCTTGAATCTCTGACACTAAGCAATGCAGGAGGTTTAGCTGCATAGCTCCCATTAGCTTTATGAAAGTCACATGGATTGTCCTCTGCTTTGGAAATACAAGAGCCAGGTTAAGTAGAGAAATTGTGAATTTGAACAAGAGTTCAGAGGGTAAAAAACCCAAGTTATTGCTCCAGAAGAAACCCTGGTATTACAACCAAAAACTGTGAGATCATTTTCATGTTGAGATTTGACAAATCGAGTCTTTAGAGACAGGGCAACAAGCTGTTTTTTTAAACAAACTAATATAAATGTGAAAATTAAAAAAATAAATTTAAGAAAACACGTTTCATCTGCTCAGAATCCATCTCCCTTCAACACAAAGCTTCCAGCAAGGCATATCAGCAGTAGTTTTGGTTCATAGTATTTGAGATTTGGAGTACTTGAGTATTCTGGATCATGGTATTACAGCAGCATGGTCTGATCAGAAAACATGCTTTTCAAGATGTTATAGTGACTGCACCTTTCTCATGTACTGTGGGCTCAGAAAATTCCTACCACGGCAGAGCACATTATTGTATGTTTTAGGCATTCACATGTATTAATGAAACACAGCACGGTATGGTCGATTGCTTGCGGTTTTAATGTCAGTTAGGTCTTAAAGGTTATTTTACACACAAATAGTAGTACTGTTCCATACTTGATTACACTGGAACAACAGGTAAACCCAGTAACTTGTCTGGCAACTGTGTGGCTGTCTTAATCAGGTTTCTTCTGCATATAAATTAATGATTCCTGTTTACAAATACTGTAAGACACCCTTAAGTTTTCAGAGTATTGAGATTACAGTGAGAATTTTTTGCATTTAAATTTCATGCCCTCTCTCCCCAGTACACAAAACAGCAATAGATGTAATCAGCTATATGTCTAAAATCTTACAAGTATGTTCTCTTACTTTTTTATGCAGAAATACTGAATGGAGGGGTGTACGTTGGCCAGAACAAATTTCTGTGCTTTGCAGACACCATTCATTGGCAGGATATCGTGCGTAACCCCTGGGCCTCCAACTTCACTTTGGTTCCAACGAATGGCAGCTCAGGATGTAAGTACCAGTTTTATTCTTAGCCTTGTCATCTTTCTCAGCGTGGAACAGTATAACTATGACCACAAGTTTTCCCTGATCCTCTGTTACGGAGAATTGTATTTGTAAATTTTCACTTCATTCATTCTTCAAAGTTTGTACGCTACTTGTAGGAACACTTAATCTAATCTTAAAAGCACTGCCTGTAGAGAATTTGTGAACATCATACACTTTCTGAATTTTCTCTGATATGTTTTTTTCTCTTCTGCGTGTTCTTTTTTCTATTTATTGCTAAAGCCACTGTGCTGCTGTGGAGGCACAGACGTTATTGTTTGCTTTGCATTTGTTCCTGCTGCTCAGGCTGGTCCTTGAGTCACAATGGTCTGTCTGTGGCATCATAATTAGCTGCTGGAGTAATTATGGTACAAGCTCATGGATATTCTGACTTGAGATGAGAAATGAACCTCAAAGAAATAGTTATCCTATTGTCTTGTGTGTACCTGTGAAGAAAGAGAAAGAATTCGCAGAGAATGGGATGCTCTTTACAATATAGCCAGTACTTCTCGTGTTTTTAATACATTCTAATTCAATGCTCTTGATTTCAAACTTGCAGTATCTATGTACTTAGATTAATTTGTTTGATCCATATATCTCTTTCTCTTCCCTAGAGTTATTCACGTTCAGTAGTATTTTGATGATTCTTGCAGCAATAATGAATTCTAGTGAATGGTGGTGACAGTGATACAAAGTGTTTAGGTAAAATATTCCATGAGATACTAAAGTGCATTCAAACTTAATACCTTGCGATTAAACAGCACCCTCAGGATGTATCAACACTGAAATTCAGGTATAGGCTGGGAACAAGTTTATATCTGATATCAGGAGCGACAGCACAGTAGACATATTGTCTGCATATCTGAGCATTCCAGATATAGAGACATTCTGGATTGCTTACCATATCCTAGGGTGTCCCTCAAGGATGTACAAATGACTGATTGCCTCTTTAGCTTCTGCTACAGATTTCAGGTCTTCAGCTATATCTTAGGAATTTAGGAAAAAAAAAAAATAGACTCTGGGTAAAGACCATTTGATGAGTCCCCATAATTTCTAACCAGCAACTTGTTTTTAACCAAGTCCTTTGTGGTATAATAATTTTATATAAGGCTAACTTGCTTTTGTCTATCTCACCTTCTACCCTCAAAATTAGAGCACAGCTACTGGAGATATGGCTTCCTCCAGGAGCCTGCGAAACTCCACTGCTCCTCAAATTTCCAACTCCAGAGCTGAGGCTCATCTCTTCTGCCTTCTGGCTGGAAACATGACATAGTTCTAATGCAACCAGCTATCTTATTTGCATATTAAAAAACCTCATCACTGATGATGATCAGTTCTAAGAAGAACTGATAAAACCTTTGAAGGTTAGGGAATGGCTGTACCCTTTTATGAGTCAGTTACTTCAACAAGAAAAAGACAATGTTGTTACTCTGTTTTGTTCTGTTATTGGGTTTACTTTTAACCTTTGGCAGTTCTTCAAGACAAATGTTTCTGCAACACCAAGGTAATAAGCTCTTTTCAAAAAGCAACCAATATCAATACTATCTTTCAGAGCTAACAAAAGTTTTACTGGTGACTCCAGAGGAATTGGAACAAGAACAGTTCTGGGTACTTTTGGAATCACACCCTGAAAGTAATAAAGGCAAATATTAGCTCCCACAGCAAGATGAAAGAATGTATGTACCTAAGTTCAGTTTTCTTAAAACATTTTTGCATTCCTTTTGAGTTGTTTTGAAACATAGGGAAGGAACAATTTGTGCTTCGCCATTTGTGCTTGATAAACCTGATAAACAATGGTGATTGAGAGCTATGTACCCAGGCAGCTTCAATAGATAGCCACCCAAACTTTACTTTATTTTTCGCTACTTGGAATGGAGCAGAGCGCAGTTGGACTGTATTTAATTTAATAATCATGTCTGCTTCTACAAGAAGCTGGATTCCATTTCAACACTATTCATGAGTCCTGTGAAATTTGGTTAAATTAGCTAATCCAAACCATTTCTGTCTTCAGAACTTACATAGGTGAGAATCTAAACCCCATTATACAGAAAGTCAACAAATAGCTAAAGTAGTTAACAAAGGTGTTAAGGTTATGGCAAAGAAAGAATTCAGGTACAGAAATCACCATTTAAAATAGCCTAAAATTAAATAGCTCTGTGTGTGTGCACACATGTATTACACAAGCACATACATAAGTGTGTGTGTGTGTGTGTGTGTGTATGTGTGTATATATATATAAAGCCTTCAAATGAAATCACTCAAATGTGGAACCTTATTACTACCTGTCAAGAGGTAGGAGAAGGGGAATGTGCTGTACTGGTAGCTTACAGAAGAATTAAGACAAGTTATTTATACTGATGCAGAAAGACTTGGAGAAATGAACATTGAATTATAACCCTAGAATGGAAATCAGTACAGAGTATCATTAAATAAGGTATATGCTTCTCAGATTTGGCTCACATGTCACTTTTCATAATCTGCTAGGCAGTGTGGGTGCTTGCTGGGCCCAGCTTTGCTGTTTTTCCACCGCTGCAAAATGATTCTCAGTGCATTACAAAGTCTTTGGTACTTTTCTGCGTAGACTGTGACTTGTGCTTTTTTGGATCCACCATATCTATGTATTTACTGTTTATTTTGCATGACTCTATTAAATTGGCTGAAGTCTGAAGCCTCCTATCAAATGCAAATCTTGGCTGAGTCTGTTGGAACTGAGTAAGAACGCGTTGCTTGGCATTACCAAGAATAACCTAAGTGCAAGAGATGTCAAGGAAAGCCCTCTGTGACTTGCCATGTAGGAATATCTTGAAAAGAATGAGTGGGGTTTACTGCTTATCTAAAGACCTTTACAGGAGAGGGAGAAGGTCTGTTAGAGAGGCTGCATCACTTTGGGAATGTAGACTAACCAAACCTTCTGTGTCAAACTCAACAAAGTCCATACTATTAGTAATTTAGGAAAGTGTAAATGTGTGATCATGTAAGACCAAGGTAAATGCATCAGCCTGTGTGCCATGTTTAGCTATGCTTGGCAGGACTGGAGGGTAGCTTATGGCCCAGGAATTGGGGGAGGAGTGGCTGGAGAGCTGCCAGTCAGAGAGGGACCTGGGGGGGTGATTGACAGCCGGCTGAACAGGAGCCAGCAGTGTGCCCAGGGGGCCAAGAAGGCCAATGGCATCCTGGCTTGCATCAGCAATAGTGTGGCCAGCAGGGACAAGGAAGGGATCTTACCCCTGTACTCGGCACTGGTGAGGCCGCCCCTCGATGACTGGGTTCAGTTTTGGGCCCCTCACTACAAAAAGGCCATGGAATGTCTCGAGCGTATCCAGAGAAGGGCAACGGATCTGGTGCAGGGTCTGGAGCACAGGTCTGATGGGGAGTGGCTGAGGGAACTAGGGGGGTTTAGTCTGGAGAAGAGGAGGCTGAGGGGAGACCTCATCGCCCTCTACAGCTCCCTGAAAGGAGGGTGCAGAGAGCTGGGGATGAGTCTCTTTAACCAAGTAACAAGCAACAGGACAAGAGGGAATGGCCTCAAGTTGCGCCAGGGAAGGTTTAGACTGGATATGAGGAAGCATTTCTTTCCAGAAGGGGCTGTATCTTTCCAAACAGGTGTTGGAATGGGCTGCCCAGGGAGGTGGTAGAATCCCCATCCCTGGAGGGTGTTGAAGAGTTGGGTCAACAAAGCACTGAGGGATCTGGTATAGTTGGGAACTGTCAGTGTGAGATTGATGATTGGAATGGATGATCTTCAAGGTCTTTTCCAAACTAGACAATTCTGTGATTCTGTGAATTGTTAGGGCTGTTTCACTGTGACTATCTCTGTAGTGTTCCCTGGCAGAGAATATTTTGGGGACAAAATGCTGTGAACTGCTGTGAGTGTCAGAATCAGATATTTCATCATTCCAGCAAGTCCTAAAGCCTAAACCACAGTTCAGTGTTTTGGCATTGCTAGCAGTTTCCAACCATCAGTAGCAGCCATAAAATCTGCTCCAAGGTGTCTACATGTCTGAAAGACCAAGGGCCTTGACAGGTTTTTTGCCAATGCTAGAGTGGACTCCAGCAGGTTGATGTAGATAAATGCAGTGTTGTACTGGGAACACCTGTGCGCCAGCGTCTGTACGCTCAGGGCTCAGCCACGCTCCTTGTTCGTCTTCCCCCAGGAGGGGAGCCCGCGCTGCAAGCTGCTGGTGCTGCTCTCTTCCCTAGCCAGACAGAAGAGCTGATGATGGTCCCACTTCAGGGATAATTTCACTTGCAAACCTTCCTGCTGCTCCAAGGCAATCAGCAGAGGAGGAAGGCAGAAGGGCGGAGTGAAATGAAGATGCTTTGAAATAAAATCAGTCCCCTGCCTCTGTGCTTGTTTCATACCTTGGATTTGCCAACTCGGGCAATCCCCTTCATTTACATCAGTGTTAGACAGAAGAGAATATGGCTAGCGAACTCTGGGAATAAAGCTTTTCTGATTCCCTTCTTTGCAGGCTTTCATTGTCAAATCAGTGTTAAGAAGCCAGTTGAAAAGGCCACAGCATCTTAACCGCTATGATAGAAACACTGCAGACATGTGAATCCTAAGTGCTGCTTCTCCTTTTTTCTTTTTCTTTGGCCTGAAATGCATATTACCCATTGCTTCATGTTCTGATCAAATGCATGCAGAAAAGCTCATGTTAGAGGCCTTTGAATTACACAGTCTTACTGTTGAGTACAGCCAGTGGCTGCCGGTGCAGAGCTCAGGGTGTACTGCTGAAATCTAATAAACAAATGTGCCAGGGACCAAGCATATTTTAGCTCTCCAAGGACAGATACCTCTGTGCTTGGCATTTTGACTCATATGCTGAAATAATACTAGTATTTACTGTTTGCAGAGCTTTCCCATACTGGTATCTTGTATCTGAAGCTTTTAAAATTAATTGTAATTTGAAAGCGGCCTTCTCTTCCATTTGTCTGAAATCAACACTATCAACCTGGGGTTTTTA